AAATATATATCAGTATAATACTCAATCAAACAATTTAATAACTCTTTAGTAATTGGTGTTTGAAGCTTTGTTGGGTTCATAAAATTACCAGGAAAATCTTCTGTACCACTAACTGAATGGGACTCAATATTTTGAGAAATTTGAAAAAAATGATTTAGTTCTTCAGCTTCAAATTGATCTATTAATGCTAAACTTCTAACTGTTTTTTCATTTGGAAGTAAATCAAAACCTTTAGTATTATTTGTACAATAAGCATGTTCTTCTAATGTAATTTCTTGAAATATATGGTGCATTAGCTCTGGCTCAATTTTTTGATGACTATTTGGTATTGAACCTATTAATTAGTTAAAATTAAAAAAAAATATTTTAAAAAATAGTTATATACCAAGATAGCCATTCATTCTTTCAAATGAAAAACACCAAAAAGAATAAAGAGGGCCATAATCAAGATAGCATTGCTTAATATGAAGAGAATAATGGAGATTTGGTGATATTTTTTCTTTTTCATATTCATTTTCTATTTGCTTGTTAAGTAAAATTAAACGGTTATGTGCTTCTTCTAACAAATTTTTGTTAATAATTCTGCTAACTAATATTGTGCAAATTCTAACAAAATTTGTTAAAATGTCTCTATCTGGTAGTAAAAAAAAATCTCATAAACATGGCGTTGCATAAATTAGAAAAAAATTTCTCTATTCATCGGCTATTAGATTAGAAAATCCTTGACCACAATTAATCTTTCTAGGAATTCGTTCTAATTCTGATGGAACTTGAATTTTGGACATTTTTTCTTGAATTAAATTTAATTCTTGAAGTTTTAGTCTGCCATAACCGAGCCATAAATTTTTAACAAGCCATTTTGCATCATCTAAAAATATACAATACATTGGATCTATTGGCAAAAAATGAATAGGATCAAGATAAGGTAGACGAAGCAGTTCAGACCACCGTGTATGTGTAGATTTTGTGTGTTTATTTCTACCCGAAGCTGTATAACACTTTCTCCATTGGTTTGCATTTTGACGATATTTAACTGGATCATTATCAACAAACCATGAGTCAATATCTTCAATTCCTCCAAAATGATGAGATTTTTTTTTAAATGTTGCTCTTTTTTTACATTTATGACAAGCTACTAAAGAAGAAATATATCCAAGCAACTTTTGACCAGCTGGTAAATCACATACACATGAAATTAAAGCACCTCGAATTTTTTTTCCTGATGAGCATTTATGAGTTGATACATTAATACCTTGTCAAATTTCATCTAAATCATCTACAATTGGTGATAAATAATGATTTATTTGGTGCAATTTTACTTCTTTAGGACCTAATATTAGATTTAATTAATTTAAGTTTGAATTTTTAACCATCTAAACAATCACTATTATTTTATAGATACAAACAAATTCAATATCTCAAAAACCACTTTCACTCAACTAAC